ATCAGAGTGAGCATTGTTAATTTATAGGCTATTGTGCCACTTATCCCCCATTCGGAATTTGCCTGTATCAGAGAAGAGGTAGGCTTATGTCTAAAGAAATCTCACTTGCAATAGAACTGTACCAGATATTTCCATACAACTACTGGTTAGTGTTCAATAGCACCCTAGACAATTCAGTAATGGTATATTTTTTAGGAATTTCTGTTTTTCTGATAAATGAGAGAAAAGTGATGGAGTCCTATGTTCCTATCACCAAAAAGTACCATTTCCGTCTAAACTAAAGCTAAGTTTACAGGACTATAATTCAGTATTCTTTTAGTTAAATAATTGTCTGACTATTTAGTGATGTAGGACAACTACCTGGTTCATACCTCAGCAAATCTGAAGAGGAAAATAGTTGTCATTCTAAAGTTATGGGCTTTTTAGTCACCATTCCCACATTCGGCCTGGTCTAATTTGGCTCTTTTTCAGGGATTGGGGTAGTTCTAGAACAACCCAAAAACATTTTTTTCCCCCCAAAATAAAATTTGACAACAATCAATTTCATTAATGGGAGACCCTAAAGATAAGAAAAATCATTGTTTTCATTTGTTCTACCTCGGGTAGGGGTATCTTGAAAACTAAAGCCTTTTTTGAGGACTTGTTGCTGGACTATTAACAATTTTAGACTATCAGGAAATTATTTGTGCCCTTATGCATGATAATCAACTACACCTTCGGATTGCCACTGTCAATTAATCTCACGGATAGACCCCAACTTGTCTTGTTTAATAATGATTTGGTTAAGTTGTTCAATATATTTGTGCGAAAGCATGTGTGCTATTCACCAACCTTTAGAGACACTGTAACCGTACGCAGCAAAAGCTGCTGCAGAGGCAGCCGCTGCTCCGGCCATCGCCCCTGCCATGGCCGCCGCACTGCCCGCTGTCGACTTGCGCCCGCGTCCTTTCCCTCCAGACTTAGTCCCGCCTCCAGATCCTTTGGGCCGCCCCCGACTCCGCCCAGACCGGCCTCTGCCAGGACTAACCGCGTCCGAGGCAGAAACACCTGAAGACGAAATCCAGAAAAATATGTTCCTATTATTATTTTGATCCACATCCTTTCCAAAGCAAGCTGTACAAGTTCCTGGAATACATAATGTCTTTAACACATTCCGAGAACACAGCAGTGTGTGAGAGAAATGTCTGATTTGGCATTAACCCAATCTTTCAAGGAAACTCAGATGATAGCTATACTGCAGCATCGCAGTATAACTACACAATAATCATTACTCATCATTACCTTAAGTACAGGCTCAAGCTAAAACTGGAATATTGTTCTCATTTTCCATAGGCTTTTCAGAATTACAGCCAGGTTGTCTCACTGGAATGTTCCTCATCCCTAAAGGAACCTTCTCCCCCCCTTTCTCTCCACCTACTCTTTCTGTCCAATGTCAACTCTGTTTAGCTCTTTCAATAACCCTGCATAATGTTCAAATATTAAACTCACACTTTTTTTCTATAATCTTTCTGACAGAAGCCTCTTAGTATGGCGGCAAAATTCCCAATTGGGTTTCAAAGAAGCAGCATGTATTTAGGAGGGATTACTTTATTGCAGTGCATCCAAAGTGGGATATACTGCAAAAACCACAGTTGATCTAGATCCCACAGTACGGAACATACTAAAAAATTGCAACCAGGGCAAAATAAAACCCTCATAATTCTCGATAATCAGCTACATAATACGTATGAGGTAACAGGCTACTTGCTCAGTGGATGGAGGCCTATATAAACACAAATCCTGATTGAAATGGACCAGCAGGACTTGTGTGTACTGCAATGACCTTCATGTAAGTCACACCCAGATCTGCTTTTCTAACATACTTCTAATATGATAACAAGATAACACCAAGGTTATGCTATGGTTTTGAGAAGGACAGAGTTTATGTAGCAACACTATCTGAAATTAGGAAACCATCCAATATAAACAATTGGACAGTGTGCGTTGTAAAAAAGAATTCAAGTAAATGTAGTCCCCTGAATCTAAACAAGAATATAAAATAAAAGTAGTTAAGCTAAAAGTAAATTACCATTTGAAATTTGGTGGTGATGTATTTAAGTATTCAAAGTACTTGATAAACTGTACTTAGTTAATTTCCACTGCAATGTAAATGTGACAATTGTCTTAGCAAATGTTAAATGTGAGTATTCATTGATTACCCCACAATAGCTGCCCACTGCTCCTAGTACTAGACTCCTGATACAAGCATGGGTTAAAAGCAAAGAACAAATGTATCTTTGTGAGCTATGCATGTGTGTCCATTAAAGAGGGTTTCATCCCTCCCAATTATTCCTCTTCTAATATAATTGAATTGTATAATTAAACAGCAATTACACAATAGGACATACCAAAAAGCGTTTTACGGTTGGAGCTCCACAAGGCACGGTACGAAGATTTCATATACATTTTACAGAAACAAGCTGGCAAAGTAAAATAAGGTCTTCTTGACAGAGTTCCTACACCTTTACTCAAGTCAAATTGAGGCCCCTTTCAAGCACAGTCCAGCTGTTTTAATTCACAAAAGCAATTAGGCTCATTTTATTAATAACTATGCAGTAAGGTAGTAATTTATCTTATGCATTTACAATTTCTAGCACTGAAAAAATCTTGAAATCTGAACACCACATTGAATTTCAAGTACTAGCCCTAATCTCACCAAAGTGTATTTCTTGTGTCACTGACAAGCAAGTATCACATTTCCAATTATTCTGGTAGCTACTAAAATAAGGCACGAACAGTGAACTGTTCCACTCCCTTCATCAAAGTCAAACTCGGCCAACTGGTTCCCTCACCATTCATGTTGTCGGAGGCCGATCCGGACACTGAGGAGGGGGAGTTTGTGGCGCGGGACTGGTGCGCCGAGGACACCGGATCGTCCACGATGACCAGCATGTCGCTGCTGCTCTCGTCGGCGTCGGCGTCCGGGGGCAACGAGCCGGGCTGGAGCTCGCTGCTCAGGGAGATCTGTCCGGGAAGAGGAGCCAACACAGACACACACACAGGCTGGGGGTCAACACCGCGGGAAGTAAGGGAACCGGGCCGTACAGCAAAGGAGACGATAAGAGGAACGATGCAAGGAATAGGAAGGATAAGGAAGGAAGTAAGGAAGAATGGAGCAAGGAAGCAAAGCAGAATAGAGGATATAGAGCAGATAAGAGGATAGAAAGGAATTCATAATTAATAACCAAACCACATTAAGAGGAGACAGTTTTGGATCCTAATGGAGAAGCCATTCACTAGACATTCACTCACTCCCTTGTGTGTTTCCGACCGGACTTCCTCACCTCACTAAAAGGACTGGGCATGGCTGAGTCCATGTCCATGCTGATGAAGGAGTCGTCTCCGTCAGCAGAGAGGTTGGAGTTGTCTGCAGAGTGACTGTGAGAGATGACCAGGTTCACCTCCTTCTTCTTCTTGTTCTCCGTCTCCTCGTTCTTCTTATGCTGGTTAAGAACAGGCGAGAGGCCAGGTTAGCGTCTGCTAGATTTTACAACCCCTCCTTTTTTCTTGTCGTAACTAAATCTCACATCCTTTAGTATCCGGCTGGCCAGTCAAATAATTTATTCCAAAGCTAGATAACTCAACTAATTCAGGCCAGATCTCCGTGTAATGTAATGTCATTAAACTCTGGCGTATAAACATGCAACATTGTTGACAAAAATGCAAAAGTTTGTTTATTTTTTGTTCATATTTTTAATAGATTTACTGAGATATTTTTGGCTAGATTAACTTAAAGGTTTCACATAATGTCGTGATTGAAAAAGATGAAAATGTCATGTTTTCATTGACTAAAAATATTTTAAAAAATGTACTTGATAAGACTAAAATACCGCAAAACACAGACTTTTTGTTTAAAAAAACTAAACCTTGAATTATATGATAAACACGATCCTTCTCTCCCTCCAATAAGCAAGCCTTTTTTACATTTGACATTCCACATTTGTTCTATCCTTTCTTTTCATTTGACACATCCTGTCTCTTCGTTCTACCACCCTCCTGCTGGTCGTGTTGAACTGTACCTTCTCAGCGTACTTCTCCCGCTTCCTCTTGCGCTCTTTCACCTTGCTGCACTCCTCCAGCTGCTTCTTCTCATCCTGTCTCTGACGCACTGCAGGAGAAGACCCCGTGTATATTAGTTGTGACGTTAGCTTTTGTCCAAAGAAAACGGCCAATCAAGAAAAAGATGCCTCACGTTTCTTCTCCAGCTCGTCGTCGTCCAGCAGCAGGCTGACCACCTCTTTGGGTTTCAGTGTGTCGGGTTTGAAGTTTCCTCCTGAGATCACCACCCTTTGGATCTTATTACACAAAGAAATGATCTATTAATAAACTTTGTAATTACATCTTAACTGCAGTATGATTTATATGTGTTTTTAAATGGTTTAACTCCAAAACGACTCAGCAGGTTGGAGATGCAGTTTTAAAAAAAAAAATACATACACAATTAATCATAGCCAGAAACGGTAAACAATAACATAATCGTTGGATTTGGTAATTTTTTCGATTTGTCCTCGAACAGTATCACGTGTGACGGGTGAGGTCAGGAAACATGACCAAAATCTAAGCTCTAAAATAGTGATGTTTCATAAAAATCCTTATATTTTACACGTCTCATTTGAAATTTTGCAGGTAAAATGGATTGTTGTAATAAATTATCAAAGATATAACAAATTGTATTTGTATTTTTATATGAATTTACGGCATTTTTAAAATCTGACACTTCACAAAATATTTGTTGTAATTTTCCTCTGCCTCTAGCCATAGTCATGCTGTTTCCATAGAGGTTTAATATATTTGTATTGCAGTAAATAAACAAGGCCAGAATAAGGAATAAACGGTGTTCAGAGGGTTCAAACTCTCAAGTTGCAACCGTCCTCATATTCTGTGTGTTGGATGAATGATCACTTGTGTTTCTGACCTCGCTCTTCTCCTTGGCCCGCTGCAGGATCCTCTCCTCGATGGACCCCTGACAGATCAGGCGGTAGACGGTCACCTGCTTGGTCTGCCCCAGCCTGTGAGCTCGGTCCATGGCCTGCTGGTCCACCGTGGGGTTCCAGTCACTGTCGTAGAAGATAACCTGAAAGAAAACATTAAAAAAGCTTCACTTTTCTGCTGTTTTTGTTATTGTTTACCACACGGTTCAACATGTGTGATAATAGCTCAACACAATGCAGGCACTCCCCCTTCTCTTTAACTCCTGACAGTAATTACAGGGATATGAACCTTGCTTTCACATGGCAGATGTCACGTGTTAACAGTCACGTCAACTCATTGTCATGAATGCGAATCCCACTCGAACAGGGCTTCAGGGACACAGAGGGAGGTTATGCTCAGATTGATAAAAACAGAGAGACTATATCATCATGAGTGATCCGCCGTCTTCGATGCACACATTGTCATTACATCAACATCTTATCAAAGTTCCTACAGAAAGTATGACTGGTTATAAAATGTTCTTAAATTAAAACTGATGCATCTATATGACCTCCATAGCAATGGTTATGGCTAGGTACCTGCGTCTAATTCCCGGTATAAGCAGACAAACTAAACAAAATAATCGCAGTGAGTTGTAAGATAGCCAGTTGAAACGAAAGCAGGATATTTTTTTATAGAACATTAAACATGTCCAAGCTATATTTTGTGATTATTGCTCATACTGGGGCCCAATGCGTAAAGAAGAGAATACATTAATTGACCAAAGAACCAAAAAAGGAAAGTGATGAAACATTGGGGTAAACAAGAGAGTCAAGCTGGGTCGTTGTTCAACTGATAGAAAGCATTCATAATGGAGCATGCTTCCCTTCTCCTGGTCTGGTGTGTAATGCGACCATTTTATTTATTAAAATATATTGGGATGTGAAAATATTTATTGGTAACTTAATCCAGGTATACCGTGTTTCACCATTATCATATAACAGTATTAATCTTTCATATTCGCAATTAGATGCATTACCTCATTGCTATGCATTCTGCAAACAATCGTGTTCAGGAAAGAAAAGATAGTGTTTAAAATAAAGCGTTCGTCTGGAACACTTTAATGAAATGCACCAACTAGCCAGATAAAAAATATCTAGAACACGAGGTCACAGAGGTCTTCCCAAACTACGTTTTCTGAAAATGTACTCTGTATTTTGAAGCATTTAAGAAATATAAATGCTGTTTAAGCTTTTATATTTTGTCAGTGACGTTTTTTTGTGTGTTGAATACTCACAGTGTCAGCAGCAGTCAGGTTGATGCCGAGCCCTCCGGCCCTCGTACTCAGCAGAAACACAAAGATGTCCGTCCTGCAGAGAGGGAGGAAGTCACACAAAATGAAATTATATTGATTACAACAGTACTAGTCCATACCTTAAAAAGTGTCATGGCACAAAATTGAGTTACAAACTAAGTTAGAACCAGAAATGTCCACACCAATTTAAGTCTGGCAGCAGAACTGAAATAAAACATGTGCCCTAGCATTAAGCTGCTTCAATAACCCCCCCCCCACCAATAGCCAGAGTACCACTGGCAGCTCCAAGCTGTACATTAATGTAAACCAGAGCATGGAAATATACGCATATTTGGACATACGCATGTAAGATTAAACTGTTCACTGATTGCTGCAATAAACGGAAAGTCGGATTTACAGTAAGTGGTAAAAAAGTGAGTGTTTGGTTTCACACACACACACACACACACACACACACACACACACACACACACC